GCAGGTATGTAATGAAGACTTCTGCTTGGAGTGGAGTGTGGGAAATGTACCCACGGCTGCTTGCTGGGGCACTGTCTAGGACTGACTTGCATCTGCTGTGGCCATGTGACAAAAAATGCTATTCCTATTATGCTTTTAGTGTTGCCTTTGCCTTAAGAGCAGAACATTCAAGATAAAAATCAATAATTATGGGAACTGGTTTCTCCAGATGGTACATCCTTGTCATTTTAGCAAGGTTTTCCAGAACATCGCTGCTAAATCTCCAAACAAGTCTAATTCTTGGCCTTCATAATCTTCTAGTAGCTTAAACGGATGAAAGTGCTTGGAATTGGGCAAAAATGAGTTAAAATTAGACATCAAATTTGCTTTGCTTTTAACTCTTTGAATTCAAAGAGGCTTAGAAAACATTTGAGCAGAGTACCCCTGTTCTTGCAGATTGGCCTTTCCTGGGTGTCTTTCTTTGGGAGCAGTGCCACTTTGGGAAAGGTCTAGGACTGACTTGCATCTGCTGTGGCCATGTGACAAAAAATGCTATTCCTATTATGCTTTTAGTGTTGCCTTTGCCTTAAGAGCAGAACATTCAAGATAAAAATCAATAATTATGGGAACTGGTTTCTCCAGATGGTACATCCTTGTCATTTAGCAAGGTTTTCCAGAACATCGCTGCTAAATCTCCAAACAAGTCTAATTCTTGGCCTTCATAATCTTCTAGTAGCTTAAACGGATGAAAGTGCTTGGAATTGGGCAAAAATGAGTTAAAATTAGACATCAAATTTGCTTTGCTTTTAACTCTTTGAATTCAAAGAGGCTTAGAAAACATTTGAGCAGAGTACCCCTGTTCTTGCAGATTGGCCTTTCCTGGGTGTCTTTCTTTGGGAGCAGTGCCACTTTGGGAAAGAGCCTTGCAGCCTGATACTTAATCAACTAAATTCAGCACATTTAATGGGCCCTAGTTATAGGCCAGGCACTGGGGAAGATAAATAAGATGTGGTTCTCAATTTCTTCTGGGGAAGATATGAAGAATAAGAAAAGGTATAGGTTCACAATCTCTCAGGTACATTTCTCAAATCCTAAAACCTCCTAAAATGGAATTCTGTTTTCTGTAAGTCATCTGGAAGCCAAACTTGAAATGATGTGAGTCTATTTATACATATCCTTTACTTTTTAATCCAACTAGTGTAGATCTTTGTATATTTTGCTTAAGAAAGATCAATGGGACGTTGTCCTGGTTCCCACTAAGGATGTTATACAATGTTGTTGATTATGAACCAACATAATCTTTTATAAAATCTCCTACAAATAGAATCTGAAAGTGAATCTGGTACTAAGAAGCTGGGATTAGAGGCTTTGGACCTCTAATTGTTCAAAATCTCTTTCTCTGGAGAGGACTCTGCTTTGAAGGCATCTGATATCTTCCTGGAGGAGAACTGAATTTACATTGCCTCTGCTTATTACAGAGAACTTTAATAAGTAGTAGCTTCAATGCTAGAACTAGCAACTTTAGAACTTGGGTCTTTTATTTTCAGTTTTAAGTCTTTAATTTCTTTAGGATTTCTTGCATAATTTTCTTTCTTCACTAAAAGCATTGTCTTGCCAAGGATTTATTCCTTTTTCTCATTAGAGAGATGAATTCCTCCCACATTTCTCCTTGTAGGTATTGTTTAATCTTGGTATAGTTTGATTGTTTCTTTCAGAGCTTTAATTAGTCTGTCCCACTTAAGCTGTAGGGGACCCTATATGAAATATTAGGTATTGAGGTACCCAGGAGTCTGTCTCCAACTCAGATAAAATAGCCTTCTGAAGTCTATATATAAATATTTTCTTAACAGCGTTCATTCCTCTTTCTCTTTCTTCCCCATTGATTTCCCTAGAGTCACTCTGGCTTATTTAAGGTCTTGTTTTAATAGGTGCCAAGTTCTCTTTCTTTGGGAGTATGGACAGTCCTCAAAAAGTTCAAGATAATATGTATTATGAAAAAATAATACATGAATTTCAATTTTTTGTCTCCAAAATAAATTTGTACTTTGATTTCATTTTCCACAAACTTTTTGAAGTCCCTTCTTATAAGAGCCACCTCACATCAGAAGATGTGTGGATATCCAACACTCATGGGAATGGGATAGCTTGACTTAAGGTGGTCTTTGTTCCTGTAAACTTTCAGAAGATAGAAATGAGGGGTGGAGTGTTAATGCTTTTCTGGCATTTGAGATGTAAGTCACTCACTTGAAGAGGCAAGAGGCAAGCCTCTTCCAGAGGCTGGAGGAGGAGATTTTTCTTGTTTAAAAGTTGTAGCATTAAGTCTTAGGAACTTCTTGTAAGGGTTATCTTTCCTTGGCCCAGAGAAGGACCTAGGACCCAGAGAGAAGATAGCTTGAGTGGTCACTCTCCTACAAGAATCTAAGACAAGGCCAAGAAGGCTTTAAATTTTGAAGGAAATATCTCTGAGGGGCCAGTGGGTGGTATGGTGGTTAAGGCACTTTAGTCCCAAATTTCTGATCACAGTTTGAATCTGATTGTTGTATTCTCCCTATTGATTTTTTTTAAAAATCACACTAGAAATTGTTCTTTTTATCTGTCTATAATTTTGTTTACTAAATCAATATCCTTACACCTCCCTCCCCAGTCCTTTCCAACTTCTAGCAGACCTTCTTCATCTCTCTATTTCTATGATGTCATTTCTTTTTCAATTTGTAGATAAGCAGAATATATAGTATTTATCCTTCTATGTCTAGCTTACTTCACTTAACATGATGTCCTCCAGGCTCACCCATTTAACCACAAATGTCCTTCGAATGGCTAGTTTTCCATTGTATGTATGTATGTGTGTGTGTGTGTGTGTGTGTGTGTATCTCACAAATTCTTTATCCCCTCCTCTGTTGAAGGACACCTATGGCAATTCCATATCTTGACTATTGTGAGGAGTGTTGCAATAAAAATTGGGTGCAGGTATCTTTATGGCTTATTGATTTCCTTTCCTTTGGATATCTATCTATCTCTCTCTATATGTGTGTGTGTGTGTGTATGTGTGTGTGTGTGTGTATGTAAGTATTTTTTTTTTTTAAGAAATATTTTTGCTATAGGATGCATGTACTTGCTGGAAAGACAGATGAAACACAAGAAATCGCTCCCTGAGGGGATAGTCATGCCACAATCCCTTCTCCTTCATTCTCCTCTCAGGATCTTGGGCACAAATGCACAGGCACACACCATGAGTTTTAAGCTGCTGGGTCTTGGACTTGAACTATAGTCGTCTTTCTCCTCCTTCCAAAGATCTTAAACAGCTTAGATGGAAGGCTGAGCATAATGACTGATCTTAATGTTTGCTGTTCAACCATTTTTCTTGATCTTGTTCTATGATTCTATACATTGTAAATTGTTTGATGGATTTGTAATAAACTTTTAAGATAAAAGGGAATTTCTTGTTCGTTTGCCCAAAATCTTGTGTTGTGTTCATTTTCTTAAACAAAAAATATGCTCCAAAAATGCCCAGAAGTTCGGCTATTAAAAGTTCTTTAAAGATCTTCCTTGCCAGTGGTTCCATAGTGTGGGCTGTCCTAAAGCATGAGCTTTCCGGGCTGCCAGCATTTGACATTTTTTTATCTCTTTGATAATAGCCATTCTAATTGGGATGATATGATATCTCATTGTGGTTTCGATTTGCATTTCCCTAATTATTAGTGATCTTGAGTTATTTTTCATATGCTTATTGTCTGTTTGTATTTCTTCTTTTGAGAATTGTTTATTCAAATCCTTTGCCCATATTTAAATCTACTTATCTGTTTTCTTGATGCTGAGTTGAGTTCTTTGTATGCTCTGGCTGTTAATCCCTCACCAGATGCATAGTATGTAAACTTTTCCCCATATCCTATGGGTTGTCTCTTTACTCTGTTGGTTGCTTCCTTTGCTGTGCAGAAGACTTTTTTTTTTGGGGAGAGGTTTTTGCTATAGGGCACATACGCTCACCAGAAAGACAGAGAGAGACAGAGAGAAAGCTAGAAATCATCCCCCAGGGGAGATGGCCACACCACAATCCCATCTCCTCCATTCTCCTCTCAGAATCTTGGACACACACGCACATGCGCCCGGTGTGAGTTTAAGCCACAAGGTCCGGGACTCAAACTACGATCGACTACATGGGAGTTCAGTGACATAGCCATTATGCTAACTTCTAGTCCCGCTGTGCAGAAGATTTTAAATTTGATCTAGCTCCATTTGTCTATTTTTGCTTTTGTTGCCTGTACTTTTGCAATTTCTTTTTTTATTTATTTCATTTTCTTTTATACATTCAATCACATTATTTAGCTTACAAAATGAATATTTCAGTATGTGAACATTTCTCCTTAGTCCATTTGATAAAACTATAAAATATCTTCAACAGATAATACTACATTGCAATTTTATTCATGAAGTGTATTCTCATCCCAATGTCCTAGAGTTTTCTTCTAGCAGCTTCATAAGCCTTTTTTTTTTTTTTTAGAGGTTTTTGCTATAGGGCGCATGTGCTCGCCAGATGGACAGAGAGAGACAGAGAGTTAGAAAACGAGAAATCACCCCCCGGGGGGATGGCCACGCCACAATCTCTTCTTCTCCATTCTCCTCTTGGGATCTTGGGCACGCACGCACACGTGCCTGGCGTGAGTTTTAAGCCACCGGGTCCGGGACACGAACCGCGGTCGACTACGTGGGAGTCCAGCAACGTAGCCATTACGCTAACTGCTGGTTCCCCCACATTTAAGTCTTTAATCAAATTGGAGTTAATTTTTTTTTCTTGTGAAAGATACAGGTCTAGCTTCATTCTTTTGCATATGGATGTCCAGTTTTCCCAGCACCATTTATTAAAAAGACTCTCTTTTTCCCAGTGGGTATCCTTGACACCTTTCTCAAAAATCCGCTGTATTTATTTATTGGTTTTCTGTTCTGTTTCTTTGGTTTACATATCTGTTTTTTTTTGTTTGTTTTGCCAGTACCATACTGTTTTTAACTAACTGTTATTAAGTTTATAGTATATTTTGAAATCTGGTAGTATGATATTTTCAGCTCCATTCTTTTTGCTTACGATTTCTTTGGATATTTGAGGATCTTTTGTAGTTCCATAGAAATTTTATGATTATATTTTCTTTTTCTGTAAAGAATGTCCTCTTGATAGTCATTTTTATCTGTAGATCCTTTTTGGTAGTATAAACATTTTAACAATAACAATTCTTCCAATCCTTGAACAAGGAATTACAATCTCAATAGATGGGGAAAAACTACTTGAAATTCAACATTCCTTTATAATGAAAATGCTCAACAAATTAGGTATAGAAGGAACTTATGTCAACACAATAAAGGTCATGTATGACAAACCTGTAGTAAACATCATACTGAAAGATTTTTTTTTTCCTCTAAGAATTAGAACAACATTAGAATGTTCACTTTCTTGACTCTTACTTAACGTAGTACCAGAAGTCCTACTAAGAACAAATAGGTTAGAGAAAGAAAGGGTAACCAAATTAGAAAGAAGTCAAATTGTCCATTTGCAGATCTTATATATAGAAAATCTTAAACATTTCACAAAGAAACCTCTTAGAACTGCTAAATGAATTCAGTAAAGTTGCAAGCTACAAACCAGCATACCAAAAGTTAGTAGTGTTTTTATTCACCAATAATAAAGCTGAAAAAAAAATTCAGAAAATAATTCTATTTATAATAGCTACAAAGAAACCAAAATATCTAGATATATTTAACCAAGGAAGCGAAAGACCTTTATAATAAAAATTTGAAACTACTGATAAAAGTAAATAAGACAAAACAAATATTTTAAATTTTGACTGACACATAATAATTGTACATGTTTATGATTTGCAATGTGAGATTTCAATATATGTGTGTGTGCGTGAACATATAATGAACAAATCAGGGTAATTAGTATATCTATTGCCTCAAATATTTATCATTTCTTTGTGAAATGAGCATTAAAAATCTTCTCTTCTAGCTATTTTGAAGTATGTAATATATACTTATCAACAGAGTCACATTGGAACTGTAATTAGACATAAAAATTAGACTGTAACCCTCCTGTTTTTTTGTATCTGTTAACCAACACCTCATTCTCTCTCCTCTCCTCTTTCTCTTCCTTTTCCAGCCTCTAATAATCTCTCTTGCACTTCCTGCTTCTATGAGATTAATTTCTTTCTTTCTTTTTTTTTTTTTTTATCATTTTCACATATGAGCACACACATGCAGTATTTACCTTTCTGTGCCTGACTTATTTCACCTACATAAAGTTGTTTAGGCTCATCCATGTTGGTCAAGTGACAAAATTTCCTTCTTTTTTTGATGACCGAACAATATACTACTGAGTATGCTTACCACATTTTAAAAATACCTATTTAAAAAGTGCCCTGGTATTTAGAGACTTAAAGTTTCTTGCAATTTAGAGACTTAAATTTCTTCTTTGTTCTTCCTCCCTAACATTGATAAGAGCAGAACTTGTCTCTGGTAAAAGTGGGTTCTGTTGTGACTTCAACCTAAGAAATGTCTAGGGTAATTGATTTCAAAGTTGCAGTAAGAATCTCCAGTAACTTAAAATACCCTTTACTATCTTGGTCACTTGTCAGAAACAGCAAGGAAATCCTTGGAGAGGTGCACAGGAAATCCCTGGAGAGGTGCACAGGAAAGCCCTGGAGAGGTGCAAGCAGCAGAAAGCCTGGTGGGAAGCATTAATCAATTGCAGCCAGTGCTGTGAAGGTGCAGGCCACAGAGTAAAACCGAATGTCTTCAACATATCTCAAAATGGGGCACTGTGCACACTTACTAATAAGGATACTGGGGCTGCAAGTGTTCAATGAGCACTCCTATGGGAGGCAGAAACCAATGATTGCCTATGTTAGAGTCCAGTCAGATCTTTCCTGTGCATTGTATGGGTGTGAGTGCCTCAGTTTTATTGTGAGTCTCAGAGAGGAGCTAATTAAAGATGTTAAATGATGGAGTAGTATAGATCTGCATTGCGGTTGAACTGAGTGCTGGAGCAGTTCCCACTCTAATAAATTCTCAAACTTCTCTTTTTAGAAAAATCACTGCTTAAGTAAAATTGCAAATATGAAATTATAAAGAGATGATATGGTGATTGGTTTGATTCTTTTCTTTCCTTCTCATTAGTTTTGCATTTCAGATACTCAACTAACCAATGAGCTCATGGTGATAAAACTAGGCTGCTGTGCCTTTCCATTTCTGTCCACCATAGAGGATGAGCAAAATGAAGAGCTAACACGTGCGTGTTTGAGAAATTTTCAGGGGAAAAGTAAATGCTAATTCATGAAGTGAAAAGATTGCCAACTTCATTTCATGAATTCCTCCTCAGTCAAGATTTACCAAGTATATACTGAATACCTAATATAAATTATACATATAAGTATATATAAAGTATATGTGTAAACCATATGTAACTATGTGTCAGCTATAAATTATAAATAAGTACATAAAATATAAAAATAAATAAATCGATGTATCTATACAAATTTAAAACTATTGCCTTCTGTCAAGTCATATATACAGCTTGAAGCCTTCAGAAATCTCCCCCCTAAAGACTTGCACATGGTGAGGTCAGCAGTAGGTGTGGTGGTCAAGGGTGCTGGAATCCCACATGGCTGACCACAGTTAAAGTCCTGGACATGGTGGCTTGCTTTCTCACTTTCTCTCTTGCTTTCTTTCTCTCTGGTCAAAATAAATAAATAAAAAATAAATAATAATAATAAAAAATGATTTGCACATGGTTATAGAAACAGGGTCATGCTCTAAACATGCTCACAATTTGACATACTTTTCTCATCTTTATTATTAGCATGTTTCTTAAAGGAGAAATATTTTTACCTGACAAATTTCCTTGCATAGATCTGAGTCACATTGTGTTATCTTAATTTGCCCTGGTAAGTTAAATAATGTGTTGTTACTGAGTTGAATTATCAGTTTCTTTAGGTATTGGATGTTGTCCATCTACTCATTGAATAAAGACAACTGGGATGTTTTCACTTGATGGTTAGAATGAGTATGAATCCTTAGATTTTCATTTTGCAAGGTGAAGTCCCTCAACTAATAATTTTTTATTTTCCTGAGATAGTAGACAAAAGCTAAAAATTTTAGGACTTTTTTTTTTAAAAAAGAATTATTTTATTGAACTTTATTTATTTATTTAAAATTTTGACCACAGAGGGACAGAGAGAAAGTGAGAAAGCCAGCTGCCGGGTCCAGGACTTGAACTGTGGTCAGCCGTGTTTGAACTAATAAATTTTTAAGAACTAAAATAAGAAATTAAGGAGGGAAATAGAGAGACAAGATATTTATGGGACACAAAAATGGGGTATTATTTGTTGATGATAATGTGTTTTGTATCCTCAACTGGACTGATGTGAATGTATTCATGTTGGGTAAATTCAACCTACAAGAAAACTGATTAAATGTATAAAATAAATAAAAAAAATATGTTTTAGCCTTTTCTCAACAGAATCTGCAATTGTAAATAAATCATTGGTTAATCTTACAAGGGTAGTATTTAATTATGTATGGGAACATCTTTTGGTAACTCATTTATGTTTGTTATTCTTTCAGGATATC